GTCAAAAGCTCACTTGCAGGCTCTGTTTAAGAAGTCTGTGGTATTATAGCCAGATGCAATATTCATCGCTTTACGTCCATGTCAACAGGAGTCTTTCCATTGTTTTCCATGGATATTGGAGCAGGCCCTTATTATTCTTCTAAGGCTCAGTTTCCTTTGTTGTGATCCAAAAGCATGCGATTATCAGGACAGAGGAGATAGTGTATGTGAGTGAGTGATTTATGCTTTGCTTGTTTCTGTTGCCTACAGAACATGGATTTGTTACAAGATGAACTCTGATTTCAGGAAATTACCCACATTGTCAGCAAATTTGCTTGTCCTTCTTTAGCATTATGAACAGCCCATTTTTCATGTTTTTAGAAATATTTTAATGCTGGACTTTGATATATTATTACCACATGGTCATATCACAATAAACTTTCCACTGCACACACACAGACTCGAAGATTCTTAAAAAAATAGTATCAAAGGAGCAATACCCTTGGGTCCCCGCGGAGATCCAAAGGAAAAGCTCTCCCTAGAGCTGGCTCAGTTTTACTTTTCCCATAGATAATTACAGTACACAGGAGTCAGAGGTTCCAGTCTCAAATTTACCCTTAAAAATGAGGAATTTGGGGAAAAGCAACATACAGAGGGCTTAGGCAGAGGGATAAACATTCAAAGGAGGAAGTGCCAAACTGGGGGGGAAAAAAAAAAAGTAGTAAGGCAAATAATGTCATAAAAACTCAAAAGCATCTTTGTGCTTTATCTAAAAGCAACGTTAATTGACGTCACAGGGAATTTCATATATTAGGCGCTTAAGTCCCTGATTTGTTTCATCAAAGGATAAATACACATGAAAGAAGCAGCACTTAGGGTCTACTGTACTTTATGGATTATTTTTAATTACGTGAAAGGAAGTGAACCTGTCCTTGAGAAGAAGGGGTTTATCATTTCCATTGGCAAAAGCAGTAGAGGTTTACCTATGAGTTCAGTCTAAGCAGTCAGGAGTAGAAGGTGGTCTGAGAGCAGAAGAGTTAGTCAGGATCCAAATAAAATGGCCGAGTGTGTAACTTCTATAATGTCTTTTTTTTCTTACAGAATATTGTTTCTCTGAGTTGATTTGGATCAATGTTGAGAACAGAGTTGTGTTTGGAGCTAAGGGCTTTGTTTTCTATTAACTGCAGGAAAGACTTGCATGTTCTCACAAACTTAACTTTCTTTTCTATCCAATCAAGGTATCAGATCAAAAATCTAATAGCAAACAAACAAATGAAGAAAAAAAAACCAATATGTTGTATTAAGCTTGAAATTCTTCTCTTTGAGACTAGTGAATGAGGAACCCTCTGGGGCTGGTAGGAGATGTTCCAAACCCAGCTGTGGGAGGCCTTGAGTGACCACCTCAGAGTTATCCCTTCTTAGAGCAGAGCTTGGGCCAGTTGCCTCCAAAGATGTCTCCCAAGCTTAATTTTTCTGTGTTTCCATGATGAAATGAGCTATGCCAAACATAGGCATTTCTACCTGAAGTTTGTGTTGATCATTGCAAGCGTTCACTGACTTCAAGCAAGTATTGACAAAAATATTAGACAGAATATGATTCATATCTTCACTTTTGAAATGTGACATAAGGAGAACTTTTCAGCAGTAGTAAATTAACCCAATAGAAGCACATTGTATTAAAGCTTTTGCTTTCTAATGGCTCTTCATAAATACCAGAAAATGCTGGAGTGCAGCAGAGAATCACTGAAGCAAAAGAAATTAACACAGTATGTTGATTGTTGCATTCAGAGAAGATCTCACAATCTCTCATAGCCTGCAATCTCCGAGTTTACTTCTGAGGAGTTTACCTAGAATCCTTCTTGCAATGTTTTTCTATCATGTAACTTCCCATGCCTTTAGTGTTTCCACTCAGCAGAAACCAAGGAACCAACCAATCTGGCATTTGCTATCTCCCCATAACTCTAAAGCCTTATTTACCACATCTCTCCATCTCATGTGTAATGGGGATAAGTTTAAATCAACTCATTGCATTAATTCTTTTAGACCAGATCTGCATATTTTTCTGTTTATTTGGTGTTGTGAAGCAAATTTGCTTTGTTACGATCACACAGGTCTCTCATATTCCTGTGTTCCTTTATTAGGAGATAGAATAAGAATTTTGAAATGTCACAAAAAAAGCTGCATGAAGTTCAAAGACAACTGACATCGCTGTTGTAGTTCTAGACTGTAGCATGTGAGCAGACTTTGTTTATCATCACCCAACCACATTCTTGCTAATTACTATCACTTACAAATGCAATTGGACAACTCATTTAGGTAATTTCTTGAGAAGTTCTGCATATTTTAGTTCCAATTTGTAAGTAGAAGCCTCCTCCTCCTCGTTATTTCTTTGTACTCCTGGTTCTGTTGCTTGCCGGCAAAACTGATTTGTCCAAGCTGGAAAGGAGAGCACTGACTAGGGCTGTGGAGCAGGGGAAGGCTCAGGGTATTTGACCACATCATTTTATCTGATTCAACCTAGCTCAAGAACCCCATTAAGCTAGAACTTGTACCCAGCATCAACAGGAGCATTATTACTGTCTTCTCCCCAGGAGCCAGCTTCTGCTTTCTGCAAGCAAGGGCAACTTAGGCAGAGGCTTTGGAACCTTTTGTTAACAATTCCCCCTTTGAATCTTTATTGCGGGCTTGGTAGCCTTCCTTTATTTGTGCTGAGCTGCCTTTGCCATATACTTGCTACTTAAAAGATCTAAACCTTTCAGCGTGATGCCAGTGCTGTTGATCCTGCTGCCTGGATTAGTTGGTTAAAAGTGCGTTCTTGGCTGTGCAGGTTGGTGTATCGTATCCATTTCTTCAATGTTAGAAACACCACCCATTGACAGCAGGCCTCATCAACAAGTACAGTCAGAAAATGGCCAGGAATGTCAAATATTTATCCCTTTTAAAAAATTTAATATGTTCTCCTGGGGCCTGATTACAGAATTTTTTAATGCTTACAAATTTCTTTAGTGCAACAGTACTAGTTTGTTTCCAAGGAAACAAATGTACTTATACTACACTGCACACATTCTTAATCATTAAATTCTATAATCTCCCTGGCTCGTTCTTTCTTTTTCTCTCTCTCTCCCCCTTTCTGTTTGAATGGGCAACTTCTAAATTTATTGGTCTTTTTTTTTTTTTTCTTTGCAATGGAGTCCCCAGATACAATTTAACTGCAGGTAAATTTTCAGATATCTTCTCACTGAATGATTGTTTCAAATTACTGGGGAAAAAAAAAATCCCTAATTGTCAAGAGCTTTTATGAAATCATCTTAATCAAGATAAATATGTATTCTTCATTCTTCTGCTATTTAATGTGCAAATTCATTTTTCTGAAGCAGATCTTCAGCGTGGTTTGATGTGCAATGTCTGGCTACAGGTGGTATTTAGAAATTAGTCTTAAATGTGTATGTATTTTTTAATTCACGATCTGCAGATAATGTATGTTTACACAACAGAGTTTCTGTGGAGGAAAATGTATGCAAACCTACAAAGTACATTACAGATATTCGTATTTACATATAAGGCATCGACTTTGAATTTTTCATTCAAAATATACTAAATATTAACTGAGAGCTAATAGGAGCTCACTGGAGGGACGACACATTTTTAAAGTGACATTTTAGCATTCAAACCATTCATATTCTTCAATGTGAATGTAATTTTTATCTAAATGATTTCAGAGGAAAATTGATTCATTTGACTATAGTGCTCCTAAGATCAGTGGGAAGCTCATCATCTTAATATTGAATCTGTAAATCCTTTCCACTAGGGATGATTAACAGCTTTGTCAAGTGTTTATTTTACTTTAAGAAGAATATGTAATTTTCTGGCATAACTCAGACAGATTTCAGTCTATTTCTTCTATTGCATGTCACATTCATGCTGTAGGTTAGCATGATCTAGCCTACCTCTATTAGACTTCTATTTTGAGCAGTAAAAGGATCGTCTAATAAGTTTTCATAGTTTAATGAGCGTACATCAGATTGCCCTATGATTCATTTATAGTTGATAAATAAAAAACCCTCAGCAGTCCTGATAAGAAGTAATAACGGGGAATTACTTCCAGATGGCACTTTTGCTATACTACACGTGTGGTCTCAGCTACCCATGGGATATAAACCTTGTATTAGCACAGCGACGTGCTGCTCACATGACTGCTGGCTGGGAAGCAGTGGTGAACCCTTCCCAGTGGCAGGATGAGGACGGACAGGAGGGTTCTGTGGAAGACTTTAGCTGTGCAGTGACATTTGCATGCTCAGCTCTGCACACGGATTCCAGGGGCAGGCATAAACAAAAGCTAATGCGAGACAATGCCCTATCTGCAGCCCTATTGTTGCAGTTTAATTAAGATGCCTTGGTTGGCCGAGCTGATCATCTGCAGATTCTTCATCATATACTGTGTTAGGCAGTAAAAGGTTATTGGAATGTACACTTCCCCTCCAAAAAAAAAGAGAGATATGCATTCGAACTCACATAATTTCCCATCCCTAACGAGTTAAAATACAAGCTCTAATATCCTTTTTGGGATTCATTTGCAAACTTTTCCCCCTTTAGCAGCTCATATGACACGTACATCTCTGTTTTGGTCACAACTTCAATGCTAAGGTACTGTATAACAAAGAGAGTGAGAAAATGTATATAAAGAGATTCCTAAAAAGCTTTCCAAATCTGAATTATTCCGTTTCGTAGAGACAGGGGGAAAATCATGTCCTTATGTTCCTCTGCTGTAGTGAAATCTCAGCTTGTTGCAGGAGTGAGGTGGGAAACATTTTGACTTCAGAGTGGTCAATAATGAGCTGTGTAGGGTTTGCAGACCAGCAAAGAACCAGGCTTCAGGGGGAACGAAAAAAGGAAAGTTTGCTCAAATCCACGGGTTGCTCTTCCAAGATGAGATTAATTACAGCCAAAACTGAAGGCGAATGCTTCTGCTTTAAAAATAAATATTGTGAGCGTGATTGCCTTCAGAATGGGACTGACATAAATCTATTCTGTTTCTGAAATGGTATCATCAAGTTTTGTTTGGTTTTGGTGTTTTTGCAGCAAGTGCTGCATGCTCTTTTCTTTCCAATTTCCTGGTCAAAGTCTAAAATAGAAATTGCAGATTAGAAAATCCTTTGAGAATGGGGTTCAGCAAGTGAAACTGTTTGAAGGTAAGTTTCATACTAGTTTGACTGAATTTAATGAGCCATTGTTAGGAACCAAGCAAGCAAGTATTCTAGTGAGGCAGGAGGTATACACAAGCTGTCTTTTTAAGAAAGCATTGTAAATCTGATAACAAAGAGAGCCTGAATTTCTCCTTGAATTACCATGTTGACAAAAAAGTATACTGCATGCCCTGCTAGCAAACGAGATATGTTTTGCTAGTAAAGAAAATTAGACCTTAAATTTAACTCTATCAATTCTAATGTCTAGGGCAAGAGAAAAGCCAGAGTCATGCTGAAATGCAAGCTGTTGCACCAGCGCGGAGCGAAGCACAGGCTGTGTGTGAGCCCTTGTTCTGAAACAGAACATTTTGTGCAACTTTGCTGTACGATTAACGAATGTGTTTTAACAGGAACTAAAGAGCACAGGGGGAAGGAAAATGTGTAGCAAGCTGTGTCGTTAACCAGTAGGGATTAAACAATTTGTGTTGTTAGCTAGGAGGCATCCAGGTAAAGGTCTCCTGTTTGGCAGGGCTGTGCTCGCTAACCTTGGGCTGCCTGCTCCAAACGTGTGTCTTCTCTTCAGCCTGAAAAGGCTTTTTTAATATTTAAAATTATTAGTTTATAGTATCCGTGTAATTTCTTCAGCCATAGGGCTTTAATTTCTTTGATGTGCATCTCTCTTCCAGCTGGTACTCCTACCACTCCTGCTGTCTCTTAGCCCTAAGTAAGGTTTCTCTCTTTGTTAGAGCTGGTGCCACTGATTTGTCTCTTGCTCTGAGAAGGGCTTTTATCCATTTTAAAAGTGATGCTGCTGAGACGACTTTCCTTTGCCCCGAGAAGAAGATTTTTTATTCATATTTGTGTGTTTTCATTTTTGGGTGATTTTATTTTTTTCCTCTTTTATAAAGAAGTATCTTTACAGAAACATGAACTTCTCTCAGGTTGTCTGTGGGCTCCCTTCATTTGGGGGAAACAGCAGATCTCTCCCTTGCTGAGGAGTGTAGCAGCCCAAGGGGGCACACACAGTGTTACCCTAAAGAGGGGTGGGAGGTTAGAATGGAGAGTTTTCTCATGCAGAATGTTTTGTTAGAGAAGACCATTCTCCTACAATTATTTCGACTATGTTTCCTTCATATATGTATTTAAGACAACAATTTCCTTGTGAATCTGGCTCATTATTTGTTATTTGAAGTAAATATGTTGAGTTAGCCTGTTAGGGCTTCCTGGACTTGCCTTCTTAGCCTACTCCTCTCTGCGTCCCCTTTTAATGGCTATCATCTATTTTATGCTCAGTGCTTTTCAACTTTCTTTTAATTGTATGGATAGTTAAAGGCACCTTGCAAATTCATCTGGTTTAGGCTGGTGACTGGGGCTGTTGGATCCCATCAGAAATATTTATTTTATGTAGCGTTCTCCACATAGATGCATCCTGAAGCACTTTGTGTTAATTGTAATTTAAAAAAATAAAATAAAAATTGGAAAGAAAAAAAAAACACCTTGAAAATTAACAAAATACAATAGCATTGTATTTAAAGGATCCTGTAGATAGAAGATAACTTCAAAAAATGGAAACTTTCTTAGCATGGAGTGCTGGATAAGAGACTGGACGCTGAGGAGGTTTTCACAGGATCGTGTAGTGTCTGCTGTAAATCAGGGTCTGTTGCATTAAAAATGTTTATTTACTGTTAAAAACTAGCAAGACATTCCATCAAGGGCCAAATTAACTTGTAACTTAGTATAACTGAAGGCCCTGCTGCTATCTGTTCTGTCTACATGCTGAGACAGTGTTTGGCTTTTTAACAGTTTTCTTCTTTGGAGTCAGTCAGAATTATGAACTATCTGGAATATCTTATATTGCCCGCAGACTAGACAAAGTGCTGTCACACAGGCCAGCAAATAAAGCTTTACACTAATCAAATGCTCTGCTGAATAAAATATGAACAAGTTATTTTCCATAATAAATAGCAAGTGAAAATATAAATTGAACAGTAGTGCTAATAAATAAGTGAGATCATCTAAAGGCAGTTTTCAGAAACAAAAGTTTCTACCTCCATCCGTTAAGTACATATGCATAGGAGGGATGAAAGAGTGGCAGCATCTGAATTTTCTTTGGTGCCTCTGTGGTGTCTCTCTCAATTTGCATCATTGGAGGAACAAGCTACATGAATTTTTGACAATGACTTTTTTCTTTCCTTCTTCACGTTTTGCTGCAAATGGATCTGGGGGGGATTTTTGTTTTGTTTCTTTTCAATTATTGCTGTTTTTATTTTTTCAACTAAGAGTGAATCCCTACGATCTCTAGTACCTTGATAACATGAAGAAGGTGGGTAGCTCTTCAGCACTGTTAATACAAAACAAAAGAAGCCCTTAATATTCCTTGCAAAGCCAAAAGCTTGCATTCAGTTTCTACGTTCCCCAAACAAACCATATCCTCATGTGTAGATACTGAGAGTCTGTACTGTGCATCTGCATAGAAGCAAATGAAGAGAATGTCGTGTGGGCAGCTGCCTGGTGTCAGTGTTTTGGGCATATTTCCAGATAGAGTGTTTTCAACCAGTTCTAGCATTTGTTTCAAAGTTTACATCTCCTATTGTTCCTACCAAAAGTAGGTGAGGATATTTATGTGGCTCAGTGGGAAGCAGGACTTTACATTCTGGTTACAGGTCTGTGGGGCATAGGGGCTTTGCAGCACCTTGGTTGTAAACACCAATTGGAACGAACACAAACAAGGGTTCATATTTTCAAAAAGAGGTTTGGGGAAGTCATGTGTCACCTATCACCACTGGCTACCACCAAAACAGCAACAAAAATCTGAAGATGTTGGCAAATTTTCAGCTACCTCATTTCGTCTTCCTCTTTTTGTTTCCAGTTATGGGAAAGTGTCTTCTGACTTTCTGGAATAGTCACAAATCTGCTTTGTCTCTCCTCTTAGCTCACTGTTCCTCCTCTGAGACTATGGTGAAGGAGAGACTGGGACCAGGCTGAGGTCTTCCCTTGGGGTGTGCCACGTATGGCAGACCACAACTTGTCCAGGGAAGCTCTCACCAGGTTAATGGTGCTATCTCCAAAGATGGAGACAGCAGAGAGTGAAGGAAATCTCAATCTGTTCCCAAGTTTCTCCTCATAAACAAGCTGTCTGTTGACACCCACAAGACATATAAACCCATAATACAAGGATTATCTTTTATTCCTTCTTTTTATTCTTTCCCATAAAGCCAGGCAATGTTCAAGATGTTTTACCATTCTGTATCAATAAATTTATGTTTATGTCATTCGTATTTATTTTTTTCTAAACCTATAACTAATGCTTTTAATTAAAGCTTTAAATTTTCTCCTTTGATTGTAACCACCACTTCTCCCTCTTCTTAGTACTCATTCCTCCCACATCTTCAATGGGCACTCATTCTTTCCATGTCCTACATTTCCAACTGACATCTCCTACTTTTTCCAGTCTATTCCAATGCAAAATTGAGGAATTGTTGATGTCTCCTGTTCTGTCTTAAGTAATGCATCTGTTACTCAGGGGAACACACTTCCCACCCAGCAATTATTGTCGTGGATATTGATAGATAATTTAGCATCCAAATCCCCCAAGTGTTTGAATTTCTGCTTAGAATCCATGGTTTGCACTACCAATCGTATCTGTGTCTATTCATATTGCAGATAAGTGCTACTGAAAGCACAGTAGTACAATGACTACTGCTTAATTCTTAGTTTTCTGAGAAATCATTCTATGAAACAACACTCTGGGCCTGCCTGCTTGGAGCATTACTTAGACAGACGTTCCAGATTTCCCCAAAGCTTCGTGAACTTGTTCATTTATACATAACTTAAACCTTGAAAAAACTAATATGTCAAAACTAATGAAAATTAAGAACCTCTGCTCACAGCAGCCATTTTCTGAAGTCGAGAATTATTCTTCCGTAAATTGATAGCTGTAAATAAACACAATAATAAAAGATATTACCTGTTTGTAGGTAACTTGTTATGAAGAAACAAGGTCTGTATTTGTCATATCAGTTATTCTCAACACTCAGGCATGTGTGTTTCTCTCTACGTGTGCTAAACAAGAATAACAAATCCTGTTAAATGAATGGATGCCTACTGGGGATGCTTTTGCTGAAACCTTCTTGGCTTACCTGTTGGTGTTGGGTGGCAGCACATTTTGTTAAAGAACTGTGAAGTGTTTCCTAAGGTGTTACATATTGTTGTGTTGGTTTGGGTTTTTTTTAGACAGTAAGCTTTACAAAATCTTCTCGGCTTTGCATAGGTGGTAACAGAAAAGCAGAATAACGAGATAATAAAACCTCTTCCTTTTTTTTTTTTTTTTTTTTTTTTTTTTTTTAAATTGAAGAACAAATTATTTCATAGTTTCTCATTAGTTATTCTCATGGATTGTGATGACAAGGTGCCAACTTTCACACTTTAAACAGGTTAATTAATCAGGTAGTAATGAAATTGGGTGATACCTGCATGTTGGTGTGCCACTGCTCCTAATAATGTGCTCAAATGTCTGCAAACCTTGAAAGGATGTTTGCAAATTCAGCTCTTCTCCGCACTGCATAAATAAATGCATATTTCCCAGTAGGCAGACTATTTTTAAAGTCACACTTTACCATTAGTAAGTTTTAAGATCATAAAGGGGCACCAGGAAAGCTGGAAGACCTCACAATTGGTATATTTATTTTCTTTCTATCCACTGGCCATATGTGTTAAGTATTTGTAATGTTATTTCTTTCCCCCATCAAATATATATATTTATATATAATCTTAAAAATCCTGATCTTGGATAAAATCAGTGGAGGAATCTATGCAAGTAGAAGAAATATTAATAATATAGCAGAAGGAAGTAAAAGCATTTGGAGAGGGAGGCAAAAACAAGGGAGAAAAAAAGAAGTTTCAGGCTTCTTAAGAACCAAGAATCAGTATGAAATGTATAATTTGAGAAACATCTTAATAATATTTTAAGGAATCCCATAGAAGGAAGCTTAGCTTATATCCAGCTC